TTACAAAACTAAACATACTCTTTCTTACCATACAATCCAGCAATCTTGCTCCTTGATGTTTACTGAAATGAACTGAAAACTTAAGTCTACATGAAAACCTGCACATAGATGTTTATAGCAGCTTTATTCATAATTGCCAAAACTTGGAAGCAACCAAGATGTCCTTCAGTAGATGAATGGGTAAATAAGCCATGGTACATCCAGACAATGGGATATTATTCAGTGCTAAAATGGAATGAACTATCAAGCCATGAAAAGACATGGAGGAAGCTTAAGTGCCTTTTACTAAATGAAAGAAGCCAATCTGAAAAGGCTACACACTGTATAATTCCAACTATATGACATTCTGGAAAAGGTAAACTATGGAGATAGTAAAAAGATCAAAATAGAGGTTACCAGAGTTGAGGGGGAAGAATGGATAAGTAGGCAGAGCACAGAGGACTTTTAGGGCAGTGAAACTATTCTGTATGATACTACAATGTGAATACATGTCATACATTTGTCCAAACCCATAGAATGTGCAACACCTAAAGTGAACCCTTATGTAAACTATGGACTTTGGGTGACAATAATGTGTCAATTTAGGTTCATTGATTCTAACAAATGTACCTTTGTGGATGGTAATAGTAGAGAAGGTTGTATATATGGGGACAGGGAATCTGGGAACTCTCTGTTCTTTCCACTCAATTTTGCTGTGAACCTAAAACTGTTATTAAGATATAAATTTTATTAATTTAGAGAAATCAATGTGTCTGAACTGAATGCGTCATTCTCTCCCTGCCACCTTCCCAATTTCTTTCCTTCCAGTATCATCCTATTCAGGGAATAGAATCATGATATATCCAGGTAACCACAGTCAGAAACCTAGGAATCAATCTAGATTTGTTCTTCCTTATCTATTCCATGCAACCTCTTTATCAAGTTCTATGTATTTTACCTCCTATCTCTAGAATCTATATCCTTCCTCCCCCCTCTAATGCCACTGCCACAACGCCATCTATTCAGTAGCCAGTTTTCCCTTGACCTACCCTTGGGCTAAGTTTTATGAACAAGCACAACTTTTTGTTTTCTAATATTCTATCAGATAACTGTAAATCAGGCCTCATGCAGACCACAAAATGTAAAACTTAAGCTGTTCAGAACTTTCTTGATAACTTATCTCACAACAAGGCTTTAATTAAATGAAAAACCGAAGTATTACATACACAGGTAGAGATACAAAGAAAGAGATAGAACAATGGTTTCTGGATGTGGGACATCTTTTAATATACCATTTAAGTTTAGAAAATAAAAGGGACCACTAAGACCAGTTAGTCCTTCATGGCATTCCTGTACCTAGAATCTTTCAAAGCACTTCCATTGCCTTCAAGACAATATCCAAACTTCCCCTCCCCACCAAGATTTTATTGGGGAATTGGGGAAGGAAACAGCATTGGAGAATTGGGGAAGGGGAACATTGTGTTTTTCCAGGACCCATCAGCGCCAAGTCAAGTTGTTGTCTTTCAATCTTAGTTGAGGGCGCAAGCTCAGCTCCAAGTCCAGTCACCGCTTTCAATCTAGTTGTGGGGCAGGGCAGGTGGGTGCAGCCCATCATTCCAGGTGGGAGTTGAACTGGCAACCTTGTTGTTAAGAGCACACGCTCTAACCAACTGAGTCACCTGGCCGGCCCCAATATCCAGGCTGTTATAACATGGCATACAAGGTTCTTCATGACCTGGCCACTATCTTCCTTCCAACTTCATCTGTCCCTATTTTGCATTTACCCAGGTGTTCAGGCCAAAATCCTAGGAGTCATTCTTGTACAGTATCTTTCCCTTGAGTCACTGTCCCCAGATTCTGCTCTTCACTATTCAGTCCACATGCAAATTCTGTTGATTCCACATTTTAATATGTGTAAGTCTATCTACGTCTTTTATTTCAACTCTAATCCAACTCAGTGTCACTAACTGCTCTTCTGGTCTAAAGCAATTCCTTCCTAACAGGTTTCCCTGCTGCTTTAATTTCTATTCCACAACAAAGATACACATAAAAAATATACATATATATTTTTAAGATGTCATTCCCCTGTTCAAAACATCTGACTTTTCATTTCACTCAGAATAAAATCCAAATTGCTGCCAAAGCTCTCTGTATTAGTTTCCTATTGCTGCTGTAACTAAATTATCATAAACATAGTGACGTACTCAACAGAAATTTATTCTGTTGCCATATTTTAGACTCATAATCCAGAAAAGAGGAGGCCTTTATGGTAGATGTTAGTGGCCTAGGCAGGGATTGATTAGAATTTATAAACTAAATGAATTACTAGAACATGTGAATCTGTGCAGTTACAGTTAAGTGAGTTATTTGTGGTCTTCTCTTGTTCCACATGGGTCTAAAGAAGCTGGTGTTAAAAAGAACTTCCTTGTAAATAGTTTGTGTTGCGTGTCATGGAATGGTACAATTGATAATTTCAGTTTTTGCTTCATTTCATTTAGCAAATCATTATAGTTTTTGCTCGGTTCCTCAGTCCCCCTTCTTTTGGTCAATCTTTAGCTTAACCTGGAAGAAAGGCCATTATTTTTCTGGGGACATGATCAATCTAGATCTGCACTGCTATTTAATAAGTCGCAATTATATCTTGAGTTTTTCATGGTAGCCATATTGACCTCTGTAAGTATTAAGCCTTCTTTTTGTTGGATGATCATTTGTAAATCATCTAGTGTAGCAGTGACTACGCAGCAGCATTTAAAGCTCTGAAGATCATACATCTGGTAACTGCAATGCAGGCAGACACTAAGACAAAAATTATTAGAGTTTGCAAAGAATTTCAAAGCTATATTCCTAGATTTTGAAAAGTGGACAATGAAAGCATTTGACACAATCTATTTGGATCTTCTTATATAATCAATTTTTTCCCCCTTTAATTTGGGTAGGGTTTGTTCAAACTTAACCAGCATATGTAGAATTAGTCCTATACCTGGTAATTGTCAAAGATACAGATCTTGGGAATACCATGAGTAAAGGACAAGGATGTCCATTAACAATCTAGGACCTTAATCTAGGAGAGGGTGAAGAAAATAGCCAAGAGGATAAAGATGCAAAGCCAAGAGTTTCACATAAAAGAACAACACAACAATCAATGGGGCCTTGTTCCAGTGGTCTTCGTTGGAAATAGCCTATTTCATGCAATTATCAGCTTGCTCCAAGGATCTAGGGCTAGCTGTCTATTCTCATGGGACATCCACCTCTGGATATTACCAAGGCTCCTCAATATATAGGCTCCTTAAAAAGTCCTACATAATCTGGTCATCATCTCTGAGATCGTCTCCTAAATCTCTTTCTCTTCTTCACTCAATTCTCTAGCCACACTGGCCTTGCTGTTCTGCAAACAAGTTAATCTTGTTGCTGCCTGAGAGCCCTTGTATTTATTGTTTCCTTTATGCAAACCGATCTTTTTCCCATTTTTGCATTGCTGACTCCCACAATACACTCAAGTCACATGTCACCTCCTTAGAAAGGCTTCCTCTTGTCATCCAATTTAAAGTCCTCTTCCCATCATTCTTGATTCTTTGACCCTGCTTAGTTTTTCTTCATCACACTCTTCACTCCCTGCATGTGTTTCATATTTATTTATTTTTTTGTTTGTTGTACGCCCCGCTTGAATACACGCACCATTCAAGATGGCAGAAAACTTTTCCATTTTGTTGACTGATAATTTTCAGGACCTAGGACACTATCCGGCATATATAGGTCCTCAATAACTACTTGCTGATTGAATGAATACATGAAAACCTCACACACACTCTGTGTGAGCCATATAAAATCTATCTGCAGTCCTCAAATGGTTCCTTTTTTTGTATATGTGGTTTTCATCTGCATGGAATAATTTCTCCCTGATTCCCTCACAATTCCTCATCATCCTTCAAGATTCAGCTTACGTGTCACTACCGGAGAAACCTTCATTGATTCCTTCAGGAAGAACAAGATGTCCTTTTTCTCCATTTTTATAGTACTCTATGCATATCTCAATCGTATTACTTAATATATTGTGTTAATATTTTGTCTAAATGATCTCTGTATTGTGAGAATCTATCAAAGTGTTTTGCCCATAGTAAAAATTCTGAGTAAATGTTGATTGATTTTATTTATTGAGTGATAACTCTGTGTTAGGTATCGTACTAGTTTTTCATGTATATTATTTTAATCCTGACAACAAATCTGTAAGATATTATCCCTGTTTCATACATGAGAAAACCGAATAACCTGCACGCAGTTTTGAACTTAAGTGTATCTGGCTCCAAATCTGGTGCTCCTCCCATCGCCTCGAATTAATTAATAAATCTCCTTCATTTTCCTGACACTTACTGGTCAAAACTTAATATCTCAATTTCAACATTAACATTAACACTCTGACCTTATTTTAGTTCAATGCTGCATGTTCTAGTACTTGATTTAATTCATTCAGCCTCTATAGTTACAGAAAAGAATGGACCCCAAATACCTTAATGGCTCAGGTATTTATTCTGCTTCATAATTGGAGGTTTTTTTTTATGATGATGTAGGGTCAAGATTTGGTTGATCTTCCCTTTTAAGGGAAGGATTATATTGAACAACTAGTCTACATATCATCTTTCAACAGGTATAACAGGTACAAATACATTGTAAGTCATATTGCAATTGTAAAATTAATATAGCTGAAAGAAAGGCAAGTGTGACAGAAGTGAGTTCAAGATAGTCAGAGGGCCTTATATATGTGAGAGAACCTGGAGGTTACCCTGATTATTGTCTTTTCAGCATGCTAGGGGAAGCAGTGTGTATTAAAGGTCATATGGAAGTTTATGAAAATTTAGAAGCACGTGAATTAGTTTCATAAGACACTCAAGCAGTGAGTTGCCCAGGCTCTAATGTGAGACAGACCCGAGATCTAATCTTAGCTACCCCACCTAATAAATTTAAGTAAGTCACTTAATTTTACCTGAGACTCAATTTGTTCATCAGTACCATGGCAAGAACAGAAGTGTATTAGGCAGGCCAGCTAATTTCAGAGGCATAATTTAATAAAACAAGTCAAAGTCAACACAGGTTTCCCTGGTCATGCAGTTCTCCTGGGCAGCATTCCTCCAAGGATTAATTTGGGGCCCCAGGGCTCTTCCGTTGTATGGTTTTGACCTCCTGTAAATTCTCTGAAGTCTTTATCCACTGTGTAGATAGAAAAAAAAGAAAATGTGGAGCATGTGTAGGAGTTTTTAGTGGTTCTGTGAGCCAAGCTTTAAATGACTTTCATAATTTCTGTCCACATACTATTGGACAGAAGTCAGTCACATGACCACAATTAACTACAAAGGAGGCTAGGAAATACAGTCTGTGTGCTCAAGAGTAAAGGAAACAGTTTGGTGAATACAAAGCTGCCTCTGTTACTTAAGGTCATGAAGTAGTTTTAGGGTTTAACTGAGATAGTGCATGTAATGTGTAGCACAGAGTAAGTAGTCAAAAAAGTTACAGTTGTTATTATTATCACAAGTATGTATGCTGAGGGCCTGAATAAGGATCCCACCGTTGGAAGTGGAGTACTTGCTTTGAGGTTCCAGCAAGCGAACTCAGCTACATTCAAAGAAATGTCTTTACTTTTTTGTAAGGTTATATAAGATTGTGATCTTTAACTGATTTGACAGCATCGAGAAGTATAAACTTAGAAATGTCAGGGAGGAAGGGGCTGCCAGGTGTTCATATTAACTTAGCTAACAGAATGTCAAAAGTTTATAATTTAGATAACCCCAGTGTCTAAGAGTGGGAATAAGGAACTATAGGCTCATTGGATTTGGGAAAGGGCTTAAGTGAAGTAATAAGGAGTAAAAATTCTGGTCAATCCTCTTATATTCTTTTTCTCTTTACTTTCTTTTAAGTCACAGACATCATCAAGTTTCTTCAGGTGCAGCATAGTTTCTTCTCCGTTGCCAATTAAAATATTGTGAGAACTTGGAGAACAGAGACCATGTTTGTCTCACACATTATTTTAGCATCTAGCGATGCCTAGCATAGAGTATACAGGCAAGAAGTATTTGTTGAATGAATTTAACCTATATTGGCAGTTGCTTTAAGTGTTGCCTAAAGGGTCTAGATAAAGTAACAGAAAGACAATGAGTTTTTAAACCTTGTTTCTGCCACTTTAATATCTGTGGGATTCTGGGATTTTTAAGATTTAATGTCCAAGACTTATTTTTTTCCTTGTATTAAATAGGTGCAATACTTTTTGAGCTCTAGTAGTGAGAATGAAATAAAAAACTTTATGTATGTAGTGTTCCTAGCACACAGAAGGCATTCAAAAAATCTGTTGCTCCCTCCCCATAAACCCTACACCTCTCTATTTTAATTTGGGGCACCTACTTTTTAATTTGAGGAACATGGGAAATATGTGCTATTCAAGTTTTCCTTACTTCTGTTTTTGGTTCTGTTCATTTGTAATGAAAAAAAAAATAGGCTTCAAGTTGGTGATCAAAGTTAAGAGCTGATTAGTTCCCAAAGCACAGATGGGTTCATGGTTAGACCAGCATTCAGCACCTAGAACAGTGCCTGACACGTAGTAGGTGTTCAATACATATTTTTTGAAATAGTGAATGAATTAATAAAGTACTGAAATACAGATGATGCTCCAGACAGATAATTATGGGACGGACATAATGGGTGAAAAAGTACAGATTTTATCAAATGAGGAGTTTGGAGTGGAGTTGCCAAATGTGTGACTTCAAAATGTTCTCATTCATTCATTCAACCAGAATTTTCCCTAAGAATGAAATATTTAGCAATTGATAGCTAAATGCCATACTCGTGTGGACCCCATCAGGGGGTTTACCAGTGCAGAGGCTCAGGCCAATTGTAACTTATTCAGCAGAATCCATAGAAGGGTAGCAAGGATGACTGACATGTCTTGAGAATCGAGTTAATTCCACTGCCTGATGGGAACAGGGCAGCAAACTGGACACCAAACCGCAGATGGACTGCAGATGCACTGAAGGAAGTCATTACAGTTTTGTGAAATTTGGGGCTGGCTTGACAAAGATGAAGCCTGCTGGTTTAAGAACTGTATGTTCTTGGCAAAAGGGTGGTGTTGCAGAATTTCACCAGCCATAGTGAAAAAAAGGGGGAGGGGAGAGGGAATGGGAGGAGACTACAAAATTCATGATATGATACATAAACTGTTAACTATCTATTAGCTTTGCATCTTTTGAGAGTCACCAGACTGAAGCACAGCATTTTAGATTTGGCTGGCAGATGGTGTACACAGACTTTGAGTATGTTAGCATTTCATTTGAAACTAGAAAGACTTCATAGGACTATCACGGCAATTTCACATTCAGAGAGATTTTTAAACTTATCCCCAAATCTGGGTTAAACGTGGGGCCCTAATAACATTTTAAAAGGCTTTGTTAATAGATCTGGATCTCATAGAACAGATTCACAGGACATACTAATTCATCTAAAATGCCTACAGGGTAGTCTCAATGTCTTCTTTCCCTGAAAATATGATTTATGCAAGAGTAAAGGGAAGAAAGACTGAACCAGGGGATATGGCCGGTGGTGATGTTTCAGTTTTTTGAATGAGACTTCTCCATTTACCACTCTTCTCACTTCCTTCTATGGTGTGGACCTTTAATCCCCACACCAGCCAGCCTTATAGGGTTCAAGCTCCTCTGTGGTTGACATCATCCTAACACTTCCTTTTTCAAATTCCAGTGAAACTATGTGTTTCCTGTCTTGTTTGACGCCCTGGAGAAAGAATACGGGCTGGTTAGTATCTAAATTTAGGCTGGCAGCAGCGTGTGCAGTTTTCAGAGTAACAAAAACAGGTGACATTTCCAAGCCTCCCAAGAAAAGGGGAAAAAAACCACCCAACCCTTCTGGGGTAAGCAGGCAGGGAGAGCTTCTACAGTTACACAATGGGGAGAGGCCTGCTGGCTGGCTTAGAAAATGGGCCTTGTGAAGCCATTTCCTTTTCCTTAATGCCAGGAGGATGGCCTTGGGGGCGTCCCTAAACACATTCTTGATTCAGCTATGAAAGCCCGTGGAGCCGGAGCTCTGACACCTCCTTCCTCAAGGGGAGCTGTAAAGGCAGCTGCGCCTCTTTGTCAAGCCTTTGGTTTCAACCATACGCACTGGGACAACCTTGGAGCGGGGTGGGAGACGGGAAAGGCGGGACACCATTCCCCGCACCGCCGCCAGCGCGCCGGACTCCTCGCCCGTCCCCCGCCCCTCTCTGTGACCCCTGCTTGCTCAGCCTCCGGCGACCTGTTGGCAAGGAGCGTCACGTGACGCGGCCGGCCGCTCACTCCCCCCCGCCCTCTCCCCCGCCTTCGGCAGGCCTCCTGTTGCGCCCGCCGGGCGGGTTCCACCACGTAACGCGAGGGCGCCGCCCAGCTCTTCCCTCCCGGAGAGAGGGAGGGCGGGCGTCGAAAGGAAAGGGCAGGGAAAAGGGGCGGGAGAGGGAGGAGGGGCGGCGCTCGAGTCACGTGACCCGGGGCAGCCCGGAAAGCTCCGAGGAGGAGCCTGGCGCCGCCATTTTCCTGCAGCTGCCTGTCCCTCTTACCCTGCCGGGCTCCAGCTGACCGGGGAAGGGGTGGGCTGAACTGAGGCGGGGGCAGGGGAGCGCCCGACACCGTGCCTGACCCCGCGGGTGACAGGAGCCGGTTCTTTCCGGGCCGGGTGGCAGCGCGCGGCCCTGAGCCCCGCCCCAGGCCGGCAGGCGGAGAGGGAGCCGGTGGGGGTAGGGGGTGCGGTGGGGGGTGGGGGTCCTCCGGCTTTTGGGGGTCCCAGTCCCCGCCGGCTGTGGAACGGAAGGGGTGGCGGAGGAGCCGCAGAGATGTCCGGCCAGAGCTTGACGGACCGAATCACCGCCGCCCAGCACAGTGTCACCGGCTCCGCGGTATCCAAGACAGTATGCAAGGCCACGACCCACGAGATCATGGGGCCCAAGAAAAAGCACCTGGACTGTGAGTGAAGCCCCCCGCTGCCCCCCGCGGCTCGCGTCTTTCTCCTCGTCTCTCTCCTTACCCCCCGTGAGCTGCCTGTGCCCTCCCTGCGGCTTGTCTGGCTCGGCGGGTCCTGGGAGCTCGTGCGAGCCGTGTTCCGTTGGCTTCCCTCACACCTGCCTTCCCGGCTCCCGTTCCCCCGTCTGAAGGTCCCTGACAAGCCACTCCCCTCGGGGTCCTAGGGGACCCTCGCTTCCCTGACCGGTGCGCCGCGGCACCCCATCACACCCGACCAGCTTGCCTCCCCAACGAGCCTCTCTCCTCCCTGCCGCCTCCATCCGCTGCAGCCTTCTGCTCTGCCATCACACCCGTCCCTGGCTGCCTAGCCGCCTTCTCCTGAGCGCCTCCCGGCTGGCTCCCGATCTCGCCGCCCCATTGTTTCCCATCAGCCGCCTTCGGGTTTCCGTAAACGCCCGGTGGCGTGGACCCGGATCCCTGTTTCTCCGCAGCCCTGACGGAGGACTGCCTCCCTTGAAGTGATTACCACTTCCTTTGCTCCCCTGGCCTCTTCTGCTGTCCCTTCCCTGCCTGAGTTTCTCTTCCACCTTTACGAACCCCCATTTGGGTTACTTTCCTTGGCCTCTGGGGCTTCAGTGAAATGCCTTCGCCTTCTTTTATTTTAAATACCATATTTCAGTATCCGACTGTTATCCCGGATTACTTGATTCGTGGGAGTGGAAGTAAAGGGATTCCGTTTGGTGTAGGGGAAGCTTTGTAGAAAGTTGCGATTTTTAATTGCTGCTGGTGGAATTTAGTCACTGTATTTTCATGCTTTTGCCTGGGGTAGGTTGTGACTATCCCCTTGTCCCCCCGCCTTTTTTGTTTGTTGGTTTGTTTCTAATGGGGATATGGGAAAGGGTTTGCTGATACTGGGATCGTTTCCTGTAACTGTTAACCTTGGCGGTTTGAATTTAGAAGCTTAGTGAAGTGTAGACTATTGGAATTGAAAATGGAGTAATAATCAAACCTACAGACAACACACATCTCTTTAAAAACTGGTGAAAACCACGTTTGATGATGCTTGAAGTTGGACTCTTTTAATTTTATGCTGGCTGTCTTTTGGGGGACTAAGCTTGTCTTATACAGCGTGATATTATTACTCCATTCACTATGCACATTCACTAGACCTAACTCCTCCCAACTTTTTCCAAACCTGGAAGCCACCTGTAATATCCTCCTTTTCCTTTCCACTCCTATACCTCAGGGTACAAAGCTCAGTGGGTTACTCATGCTTTGGCTCACTGGAGCTTGGACCCGAAACTTTTCAGTGAAAAATATGGAAATAGGCACAATAATTTCCTTTTTTAAATGGCTACTGGACACATTAGCCTGACTGACTTCATCCTACCGGAAAGTTACTTTGCTTTACTGACGGAAGCAGGAGTGAGGGTGTCCTGAAAGGGAATTCACTGACAGGAGTCCTGTTTTGATTTTTCATTTGAATTTTGGCTGTAAGGCTTGAACTTTAAAAAAAAAAAGTACAAAATGTGAATTCTCCCAAGATGCTTTGCTTATAAAGTGCTGTTAGAACAAGGTATTGCTACAGACAAACCCATTATTCTTTGTGACTAGTTCCTTCTCTGTAAAACACTATATATATATATCTATATATATATATATATAGATATATATATCATTACTGCTTGGTTCTTCTCTCTGATGTGCGAGTCATGTTTAGAGAATGCAGAATACATGTTAATGGTGACATTTTTATAAACGGAAAACTTTAAAATGAATTGTAAAACTATAAGTGATATATATATATATATATATATATATTATCTGATATTTGGAGTAGACATTTCTACTGTTCATTTCTCTTCAAATGACTGCTTGGTTTGCTCTACCCAGTCTTACAGCTTGCCCAAACACTGTGTTAATTCTTTTCTTGATTTATATTTTTCTTTTTGATGATGAGAGTAGGTGAAGAAACTACGTGTGATTATGAACTGTTCTCTTCCTTCACTTCAAAATGATAAATTATAGCAAGAATAGGTATAGCTTTTAAAGCTTTTGTCTTACTTCAAATGTAGCAGTTCTTTTAACTCCTTGCCAAAAAGATCAGAAAATAGGCTAGGTAACATTAGGATGGTGATATTTACTTGGGGTTTTATAAATGTTAACCTTTTCTCTTGTAATAGAAGCTACTGCAGATGCTAACTGAGGTTAGGTTTGGAGGGCACTCTCACATTTGTAGTTCTTTTTCTCTATCACTGATATATTTATAAGATCCCACTTGTTTAGAACTTGAATATTCCTGGTAATGTTTGATTTAAAAAAATCCGTGTAAATAAGGAGCCACTACTCTATTTTCAGTGATGTTTTTAAAATACAGTGATACTATTTTCCCTATATTACAGTGAACTTGTAACCAGTTCTCCTTAATGAAATAAATTTAAGTACAGTCTGACCAATGAGCAACTTTTCTAAACACCTTCCTTCCATACATACTTCAACATACTTTGAGGAAGTTGAAAAGACTTTCACAGACAGTTTGTGTCTTGACACCATGAATTTTAGGCTTTAATGTAGAGATAAATTTTCCTCTTTCAGAAAATTTTCTTTCTAGTGAAGGCTTAGTACTTTGGAGCCTTTTAATGTCTCCCAAAACTATTGCCTTAGTTGAACTTAATGAAAACAATTTCATTTTTTAAATGTTAGTATTTAAAAAAAATGTGCATAGGACTTTTTTTTTTTTCCTGTAAGCTTTTAGAGTGTGGATGTAATTTCTGTCTACTTCCCCAATGTCTTTCCATGTTAGGAGTGATTATTATGATCCATGAATTATGGCTTAGTTCATGCTACATTATACCTATACTTGTTTAAGAAAGATCTTTTGCTTTGCTTTTAGGTGTCAGTGGACAATAGTGTTAACTATTAACTAGTTTCCCTAGTGTGAAAAGAGTTGTCAAACTTGAAACATATTTGTAAAGATGAACACGATTTGCATCTTATTCCAGGCCTCTGTGTCCATAATCAAGGTAGAATAGCAGCCCATAAGGGTTCAAATATATAGTTGAAGGACTTCGGTTTGCCAGGTACTTATTAACCATTATCTAATTTAATCCTTTTTCATGACTATAGGAGAGGCAAACCATATGTTTATAAAGTAGTTTCTAAGTCCATTTAACCAAGGTATATAGAATGCTTAAAACTTCCATAATGATTGAAGTATAGACAAAACAATTTTTAATTTTATAAATTCTTAATTTAAAAAATTCTTAGCTGATCTCACAATCGTCAGTCTTGTTTTTTGATATGAATAATTTCCTTTATTCTATACTTGTTTAATTTACTGTCCTTGGACATTTACATGTTTCACGAAATGTAACATTTATGTTAATGGCTATAATGGCTTCACTTTTTTATCCATATTTATCCCGGTTAATTTCCAGGGACACTTCATTCCAACCACCATCTGCCTTACATTCTCTGCAACAAAATCAAGATCATGTTTTTATTAAGCATCTATTATAAGCATATTTCTATAATAGGTACAATATGGTTATTTGTGTGTTGTGTACTGGATCTAGACTTGTCTAATTTTAATTTTGGAAACAGTTTTTTGAAAGTAAGAATTCGTGAATGTTTTGAATATATAGAAGGTGCAATTTGTATTTGGGTTAGTGGTTTGTATAAACACTGGAAAAAATATATAAGATATTGAAATGTACTTGAAATAATTACCCTTTTAAGCAAATGTATTGATTTTTGATGTCTTAAGAACATCCAATGAGTGCTTTGTTTGCATATTGTCAAGAAAATATCTGTTAACTGGGATTTGATTTGCAAGAAGATGAAGATGCTTGTGAGGAAGCTATTAAGTAGATCTGTCCCAAGGTGTCTCTTGTTTAGAAAAGTAACTGAGGCTTTCCAAATGGATCTTGTTTTACAGAGACAGTTGTTTTGTAGTTAATGTATAAGCTTACTATTGTTTCTCATAAGAATGAACCACATAATTTATATTTTCATTACTTGACCTATTCTGTCATTTAGCCTTTAATAGTTCTGAAATACAAAAAATAGTAGTGGAGCCATTAAAGTGGTAATAGTAAGATTTGACATCAAATGACGTCAAATGCCTGAGGTGCATATAGTAGAACTCCATAAATGTAAGTTTTTGTTCTCCTTTGTATGTATATCTAATTGTTTCTGAATAGTATGTATTTTAAAAGAGAAACTGAAGAGAACTTGACATATAGCCATTTTTGTAGTTGCCTTATTTGTAATTAGCAAATTAATTTTAAAATAGCTTTGTAAAGTAATAAGACTTTGCTGGTGCACTTGTTTTAAATACTGTTAGACATTACTCATTTATTTTTTATCCTTACAACAATGCTTTTTATGTTTACTATATATTTTATATATCCAAATAATTTTCAAAGGTGTTTGAATTTAATTTAAAGTGCCAGGTGAGAAGTGAAACTTCATATGAAATGACTTGGCCTTTTTTTCTCTCATTTGATTTGTGAATCGCTTGTATGAAATATTCAATTAGATGTTTTAAAAATACTTTAGCTATTAAAAAATAACCCATTTTAATTGTCAGAATTGCTTTAATTTAAATAAAATTGTTTATTTTGACCCTGATGATCATTTAGACATTTAATGTGAAAGTTCATCATAATGCAAAGAAGGTCGCTTCTGTTCAATTTCCTTCAGTTCCAAAGTGCTTAGATCCATGATTTCTCCCTTAAAATCAAAGAATAAAATAAACTTAAAGGCTTCTTGGCAAGAGGTTAGAGCCTCATGAAGTAGGGTTAGATTTTCAAAGTAAGGGCTTAGTATTTGCTCTTCCTGTTTGTTTTAGTGGCTGAAGTGGCATTTCCATTACTTTGTGTTTAGTCTCAGTATGCTCCTAGTTAAACTGCTTTATACATTTCTCTAGAGAATTGAAATATTTGGAGTTGACCTTTTAGAATTTTGTATATCCATTGTGTATATGGTTCCTGGGCAATTAGAGTTTACTAATTGCCTTTAAAACGAAATTTTCTTTTAAAAGGGAATTTTGATGAACCTAAACCTTTGTATTAAATATTATGTTCGTAGTTGTAACTTGCCAGGTAATCAGAATATTAAGGATTTCTTAAGTTATATTTGAATGTAGTGGCAATACTCCTAGCTAGGCATGTTCTTTGTGCTTGTACTAACTAGATTGATTTTATATTTAACAAATATTTATTTGTGCTTATTTTGTACTGGGCACTCACCATACTACACACTTTACATTTATTAACTTATTTCTTTCAACAACTTTGTGAGAGAAATTTTATTATTATGAAATAATTTTAATGAAGAGAGAACTAAGGTACTGAGAAGCTCAGTAATTTGCCTAAGGTCACACAGCCAGAAAGAGGAGAACTGGGATTTAATTTGAGGTAGTCTAGCATCAGGTCTGTGCCTTGATCTCAGTGTGACTTTTTACATAATGGTTTTCTATTCCCGGAAATGAAGAAACCGTATTCATTTATTCATGGCAGTGGTTCTTAAAGTATGGTCCTGGGACTCCTAGGAGTCCCCAAGACTCAGCATATTTGTGAGGTCAAAACTATATTTGTATGCTAAGACATTATTTGCCTTTTCTATTTTCATTATTTCACAAGTATACAGTGGAGTTTTCCAGAGGCTAGGTGATGTGTGATATTGTAACAGATTGAATGAAGTAGCAGATATGAGAATCCAACTGTTTTCTACAATATTAGGCCAGATAGTAAAGAGTTTCGCAAAAATGTAAAACAATGCTGCTGTTCTAAATTTTGGTTTTGGAAAATATAGTTATTTTTCATGGAAAAGGTTAACGTATGATGAGTTTTTTTAAAAAATAGAGTAATTTAAATTATTAAAAATTTAAAGTTTTAATTTTTTTTTTTAAAGATTTTATTGGGGAGTTGGGGGAGGGGAACAGCGTTGGGGAATCAGGGAAGGGGAACAGACAAGTTGTTGTCCCTTTGTTCTTCAGTCTAGCTGTGGAGGACGTCGCTTCACTGGCCCATGTTGGTATTATCATTGCGATCTTCCTGGTGAGGCGGTCACTCGCCGACCACTGGACAGCCACTC